GGGCTAAGATCTGACAGCTCGATCCGAAACACCTCGGGCTCTGCTCAGCCCAGCTTCACACTGTGTCGAAAAGCGGCCGAGAGGAGACCCCTGACGGCGCCTGTTGCTCCCCGAGGACAGCAAGCAGAGCTGCGTGCTCCCAGCTCACGTGTGGATGCCTGAAGAGAGGTGCACCGAAGCCTGCCGTGCCTGTGTTAAACGAACAAGGGAGTGGAGACGTGCCAGGAAGGATGAGCTCATTGCAAAAATAATTGAAAGGGCTTTTACAAGAATCAATACAAAGACCTCGCTGGCTTCAGATGCGCAACGTGCCAGCAGCAAGACACCTCCTCACAGCCCCTGCCTGCTTTCCATTACTGTCCGTGCCACCTCCACCAGCCTTTTTGCCTTCTGACAGCCACAGCATTTCCTAAACCACGTTCCTGGGTTTACATTTTTAACAAAATCAGCTTTCCAAATGCCTCCTTTTCCCTGAGCAGGTCTCTGCAGCAAAGCACCCCTCTCTCTTCGTTACCAGTTTACCCTCAGCTGTTTCCCCAAGGCTCATCGTTGGTGCTTGGGGCCAGCCACCAGACCCTGTGCCTGAGAGGTTTGGGCCAGCTCTGGGAGCGCGACCTACTCCATGAGCAGCCAAGGGAAAAAGGGCTCTGGGCACACAAGAGAGGGGATGCCGAGATGATGCAGAGAAGAAGCTTTGGGCATCCTCCCATCCTGGCAGAGCAAGGCAGAGAAACACAGAAGCCTTTATTCTGACTGAGAGAGGAGTGAGCTAACCTTGCATTGCTGCCGGCCAACTGCTCTCGGCTGACGCAGCCGCAAGCTGGGAGCCACATGCCTGAACCTCGCACCTACACGTTCCTGTCTTTGCTGCAGGCTCTGTACTTCACAGCTTACTTTTTCCATCACGCCCCGTTCCCAGGTTGTGTTATGCCAGGCAATCACGGGAGGAGGAACTGTCTTTTTCCAGTATTTGAGGAAAAACCCTGCCCGCCTCTCCAGGTCAACCCATCCCAACGCTTTGCACAGGTTTGCTGGGGACTTGCTCCAGCATGTGTCTCAGCATCTCAACCCATAACCACTCCATCGATTCAGGCAGAGCCCTCGCTGGTGTCTGCAAAGGTGCTGGGGCTGGCCCAGAGCATCCTCACAGGGCATGGGGCTCATCACGGATACACAAGATCACGATGGACCATCTCGTGGTGGGTCTTGTCTCCTGCTCTCATCCCCATGATGCCATCCAGATCCTTTTTCTTCCCTGACCATGCCCTAAATTTGTGCTGCACGACATGACCTGCACTCGGTGCTGATGCAGGAAGAGGGATGATGCCTCCTCCCAGCACAGCAGAGGAAAGCCATCCACTGCCATGATGTCCACGTTCTTCTTCTGCCTGCTCGAGCCCTGGGATGTACCCGTATCGCCTCTGCTAAGCTTGAAGCTCAGCGTGCTCTGAGACAACACGTTCCTTGACCTGCTTTTCTCTCATCACTAATTCACACCCAGCAAATTTTCAACTTAGCTCATGCATGAACTCTTCACTGGCACCACTTAGTGGCTAAGTAACCAATTCTGACAAAGCTCATTAAAAAATGAAAGCCATCGACGGCAGCGGCGTGCCTCAGTTCTGACCCCCAGCTCCAGGCAGGTCTGCCAAGGAATCAACTCCTCGCAATGGAAACATGAAGGAACAGCACAACGCCACACCAGCACAGCTTGCTTCAGTCATTAAAAGCCATCTCTGAGGCTGACGCTCACATGAAAACCTCGAGACGTGATTCCAGGCTCCCGGCTTCCATGAACTTGTCCGCGGCTCACCCAGAAACACGGGGAGCCAAAATCAGGTGTCAGGAGCGCTGCCGGTGCTGCTACAGCTGTAACATGATCCAGACGTGTCGGCACAGGAAGGCCGAGCTGGCAGCGGGCTGGGAGAATCGAGGTATGAAAACAAAATTCCCTGGCAGCGTTTTTTTTGTTTTTTTTTCTCCTAGCAAAACAAGATCCTAATGTAGAAAAAGAGCAATCACAGGAGCGGGGATGAAAAGGCTGCTGTCGAAAACATAATTACATTCCAAGATGCCTTTTCAGCCCTAAAAAGTTCTGAATGACATGTTTCTAAGGATGTTTTTTTTTTTTTAAATAACTACAGGTGATTCATTCCATGGAAAGCTACCAACCTTTTTCCATCTTCGTTTTGAAGCCTCTGGAAGTGTTTTTGAGTAGACAACACCCTTCCAGCACAGGCAGCGAGGCCAGGCGGCTGCGGGTCCCGAGGGACGGGCTCGGAGGCTCCAAAGATGAGGGCAGAGCCAAGGGAAAGGCACCCGGTACCCACCGGGGGAAGAAGGAGAGGAAAGGGCTACAGCTTCTACAGCTTCCCTGGTGCCCTGCCTTATCTGAGCGGCTGCATCTCCGCGAGGTCAGCAGGAGACCCGCTGACTGCATTGCCACGGAGCTGCTCAGAGGGGGTGAAGGCGCTCCCGGACGTTTCTCACATGAACTCGAGGACAGCGCGGCCAGGACTGCCGCCAAGGCAGAGCACAGAGCGAACGTCCGAGGGACAGCCTGTCCCGCAGGGACCCGCTGTCCTCCTCAGGCCCCAGCATCTGGGCAACATCTCTGTCGTCAGCCCCACATGCAAGGAGGCTGTGACCACGCAGCTGTCCTCCTGTCCCCTTCTCCTCGCCCGTCTCCACCTAGTGTCTTCTGGCTGAGGCAGCTCCACGAGGTGCTCCACGAGGATCCGTTCCACATCTGGAACCTGGGATAACTGACCCTAAAACCGGCATGACGAACAAACAGCAAGGCTATTCAGCCCGACCTTGGACTGGCTGCAGCACAAGAAGCGTTCCCAGGCCAGGAGAAGATAGAGGAGAACCAGGCAGCGCTCTGCTGGAGTGCCATGCAGGATGCTGTGCTAAAATAACACGCTCTGGGACCTGGGAATCTGCCGGCAACTGGATTTTATTTGAGAAGTAAAAATGGAGAGAAGGGTGACGGCTCACCAGGGAGAAGGGTGGTGGTGCCCAGCAGAACCTCACAGCTCTTTGGCCAGGACAGCAAACAAGGGACAGCAGAAACACCCTAAGCACAGCAGCGGTGCCCAGCTTTGCAGAGCAGGCGAAGGGAAAAGCCACAAGAGCCACAAAAACCGCTGGCATGCACCAAGTGCCTCGGGAGCCAGGCTGGGGTAAAGTCCAAGCAGCACGTCTCCGCTCTGCAAAACATCCAGAGGTGTGGGAATTACAGACACAGGCATGCTGCAGACACGGGCACATGCAGGCAGAGACAGCCCGAACCGTCTCAGCAAAGCGTTTGGAGAGCTGCAAGCAGCAGCCAGAGACCTCGTGCTCGGCAAGCCTTCCTTGGCGCAGATGGGGACACGAAGGGACACGCAATAAAACCCTTCCCGGGGGATACAAAAATAATACCGTGTACATTCCAGCTTCCCGAACAACAATCGCCTGAGAAGCAGGCACTGTGGGAAAGTCTCAGCTCGCTTTTCCTGGGTATTATAAATAGAATTACGGCTGCGAGGCCATTTAATGGGCTCCGTTTGAACTCGGGCCCTGGCGGGAGGCCAGCTCCCTGCACAACAGCTGGCCCCTTCCTGACAAACCAAAACACGCGTGCGGCAGCGCTGGGAACCAGGAAGCCCTGACCGAGCACTGCCCGTCAGACCCCGCAGGCTACGGGCCCGCAGATGAGGACAAGGAGGCACGGGGGCGGGCGGGCAGGTGTGAGGTTTCCTAAGATGTTCTCCAGCTTGCATCTCAAAGGCCTGAAGAACTTCTCTTCCAGACGGCTGCCCGCTTCCTGAGCCCCCCGCAGCCTGCAGCTTGCCCTCCAGGCTCCGTGTCTGTGCCCAAAGGGCTGTCGGTGCCGTTCCTTTAGGGGATGCTGCTCATCGCGAGAGCCCGCAGAGCCCTGCAGCGGGCAGCTCAGCACTCTGGTGTCCGCGTTCCTCTTGTCCTGCTTCATGCTCCCACCCCTCTGTAGGTCTGTATGTCCTCAGACCACATGGAAGGGGCATCTGCATCCTCCAAGCAGTGGGGGCTGCAGACACCACCGGGGCCCAGCTACTTCACAGATTGCTCAGAGTGGTTGAGGTTGGAGGCACCTCAGGGTCCATCTCTGCCACCCCTGCTCGGGCAGGGACACCTGGAACAAGTCGCCCAGGGCCACGTCCAGGTGGGGTGTGAAGATCTCCAGGGGGGGAGGCTCCACAACCTCCCTGATCAGCTCTGTCACCCACACAGTAAAATAGCACATCCTGATGTTCACAGGGCACCCCCTGCCCTCCAGTTTGTGCCCAGTGCCTCTCATCCTGATACTGGGCACATCAGGAGAGCGCCTGGCTCCCCAGCCTTGTCTCACACCCCACAAAACCCTTGCAGAAAGCCCTCCCTGCAGCAACCCCGGGGCTGCTCCACGGGCAGGAGGGGCTCGGAGCTGCCTCAGCCCAGCACCACACAGCCCCAGGGCACAGCGTGCACAAGGACAGGGGCTGCTGGATGGGTGCAGGGCAGGGCCATAGGGCGGCCATGGGGCTGGGGCTCCCCTCATGAGGGAAAGCTGAGGGAACTGGGGAGCAGGAGGGGGAGGCTCTGGGCTGAGCTCATGGTGACCTTTCAGTACTGGAAGGGGTCTTGTGAAACACATGGAGAGGGGCTCCCCCCTCAGATACTGACAGGATTTGGGGTGTGTGTGTGCTTTTTAACTAAAACAGAGGGGATTTAGGTCAGGGGGATGAGGAGAGGGGAGAGCGCAGCGCGCATGCGCCACGCGCCTTTGTTTGGGGCGGCGGCGCTACCCAGCGGGCCCGGCGCGCGGGGAGCGGGGGGCGTGGCCTCAGCGAAGGGGGCGTGGTCTCGGGTGGGGGCGTGGCCACGGGGGAGGGGCGTGGCCTCTGGGGAGGGGGCGTGGCGCGGCGCGCGGCGGGGGCAGTCGGAGCGCGGCGGCGGCGGAGGGCGGAGGTGCGGAGCGGAGCGGAGCCCAGCGCAGCCGGAGGCAGCCGAGGATGATAAACACCCAGGACAGGTGCGCGGCCTGGCTCGGCTCGGCTCGGCTCGGCTCGGCTCGGCTCGGCTTCTCGGTGGGCCGCCGCTGCTGGCTGAGCTCGGGGAGCCCCGGCCGGGTGGGCCCGGAGGGCCGCGGCCTTCCCCCGGCGGAGGCGGGCAGGGGGCGGCCGGGCCCCGTGTGCGGGCAGCGCCCTGCGGGGAGGCTCCGAGCACGGGGGGGTGCGCGGGCATCCCCTCGGGGGCTCCACAGGGCCGCTGGGGCTGTCCCCGAGACCCTCAGCCTGGCGGTGAGGGGCTGCGGGGGGGTGTGGGGCCGGCACTGGGCTGTGTGGGGTGTTTGCAGGGTGTTTATGGGGTTTATGGGGTGTTTGTGGGGTGTTTTTTGGGTGCTCCTCTGCTGGGGTTGCTCTGTGTGGGGCTGGCAGCACAGGGGCTCGTTCCTCTGGGCTGCGCTCGTCTGCATCCCCAGGGCAGGCTTGAAGAAGCAAACAGGTTTGTTTTTGTGACGCCAAGGGGGCTGCGTGGGTCCGTCCACTTGGCACAAGTCTTCGGCATAAGGAAAAAAACAACACCGAACCCATCCAAATGTGGAGCCTCCTGGACACAGCGGTGCCGGTTGTTGGCATGGACGGAAAGTGGCAGCGGCCTGGAGGTGCTGGAGAGCCGGCAGGAGCGGGCTGAGGAGCAGAGTCGTCGTCCCCTGCGCTGCCCAGGGCCGGGGCATGGCTGTGGGGCCGCTGGCAGCGTGGCGAGTTGAAATGACACCCGCTGGGTGCACTCGCCAGCAGCTCCCGTTTCAGGCAGGACTTGGTCAAGAAGCTCCGGGAGCTGCTGCAGTGCAAGGCGCTCGCTGACCTCCACGCCTCTTATTCTGAGCTGCTGGAAAGCAAAATGAAGACGGGCTGCAGCGGATGGGAGCTCAGCCCTCATTTTAAGCTCTAAACGGGGTGCGTCGAGGGACGAGGCTTTGCTGGGCCAGTGCATGAAGTTCTTCGCAGGACTGCTGCCGATGCACATTGGGATGAAGCAAAACCTCTTAATTTGTGCCCCCTGCACATGCTTGCACCCCAGGGCTGCTTTTAGGGCCCTGCCTGGCTGCAGCTGCAGAGTTTGGTGGGAGGAGAGAGGCAGCGTGCAGGTCTGGGCTAGGCAAAGCCCCAGAGGGCTCAGCGCTTGAAGGGGTCTTGTGTTTTGACTTCTACATGTGCCAGAGGAAGCAAAACTGGGAAGTGCCTTGAGCTGCTTTGCATGAAAACTGCTGCCTCTCTTTTTTTTATTTTTTTTTCCCACAACTACACTTCATTATCCAGCTTCTTGATGCATTGGCTGCAAGTCGGAGAGAGCTATCAATAGTACATTGTTAGCTGGGGGGGTGAGGGAGGAGGGAAGGGAAAAACAAAGCTGCCAACAGCTTTCTGGGGGTGGGGAATTGCACAGCAAAGTGCTTTGTCATGCCTCTCCACATCCACTACTACTGAATACACACTGGTCCATTGATAGCCCCAGTCATGCCGTGCAGAGGGACTGTATTAATACGGAGTGCGACTGAGCATGTGTGGAAGGGATTTTGCCCTCAGACATCTTCGATGCGACTGCTTAAGCTCTCTTCCGAGCGTGTCTGAGCAGCCTTTTCTGCAAGCAGCATCGGCTACACGCCACGGCCGCGTGGGAGCACCTCCGGAGAGCCCTGCCTAGCAAACCTGGAGGAGAAGGAAACATGTGGAGGAAGAATACTTGTGTTTCCTGCAGAAAGATTAGTTCGGTACGAGGTGGACGGACAAGATCTTAGCAGATTCTGCCTGTGTCGTAACCGTGTTGGCAGGCAGTTGGGTTGGGTTTTTTGGCACCTGTAAATGTTCCGGTAGTTTGTTTGCAGCCTGTTGGTGTGTGTTCCCTGCGTGCTGTTTAGGCGGTGCAGCTCAGTGCTGGGTGCTTTGATACTGAGGACTGCCTGGCTCCTGGAGTAAAAAAAAAAAAAAAACACCATCCTGGAAGCACCTCAGCTGAGAAGCTTCAGCACAGCCAGCCAGTTGTGAATGCTTCTGCAGAGGCTGTCCCGTACAGCCGTGTTCCTCTGTCAGTTTGCCCATTGAAAACCCTCCCGTTCCCCTTTATTTCTCAGGGAAGCTGTGCCCAGGTGGTGTTTGTGTAGCTCTGTGCTGGCGCGTTTCATCGTGGGAATGCTGGAGAATGACTGGTGGCTCTGCCTTGCTTCTGCAGGCTTCGGGAGCGGAGTAACCGCTGCTGCCCCGTGCCTTGGCAAAGGGCTTTTATGGTGCTGAGAAAGGAAGAAACGCTCCTGGAGTAAAATAATTTGATTCCATGAATGTGCTGAAAGCTAGAATAGATGTTAAAGCCTGTGTTAGAAGTGAACCTAAAAGAGCATACAGATGAGATCCCAGCAAACTCAAAGACCAGAAGGGGAACTCTTTCTTCTTGCGTTAAACTCTTAAAATAGATCTTAGGACAAAGTCTGCGGGGTGAGCTTGTAATATGTAGGGTTGGGCTGAAGGATGCTTGTGTGGTGTTTCACGTGCATGTGAGGATGGCAGCTGGGATGCTACGGAGTACGTTCAAGGTATCTGAAGAACCAGCCCTTTCGCCTCCTCCCTGTTTTGAAAATGTGAAACTTAAACCTCCTCCTTCTGGGCCCTGTTGATCTATTTGTAGATATTTGTCTACAGAAAATGTGTGCTCATCTGGTCATGCGTTTCCAGCCATCTGCTATTGGCAGCCTTCCAGGCGTCCCTTATTAGCATGAGGTTGCTCAGCACTCTCTGGGATCTTGGCTGCAAAGCCCCTCCTCCATTTCGAACAGAGCGCTGCCCTTCCCCGATACAGCAGTGCCTGGGCAGCAAAATGTTTTACCAGAGACCTCCGGGCACCAAAGGCTCGGCAGCTGCCCCTCACCTCGCGCAGAGGAGCGGGAATACAGGCGGTTTGGGGTTATGGGGAGCTGGAGTATCAGAAACTTGGGCCCCTGCTAACGTAACCTGGTGTTTTTCTGTTGTCCCTTTTTGTCTTGCAGTAGTATCTTACCTTTGAGTAACTGTCCCCAGCTGCAGTGCTGCAGGCACATCGTTCCAGGGCCTCTGTGGTGCTCCTGATGCCCCTCACCCACTGTCGAAGATCCCCGGTGGGCGAGGGGGTAGCAGGGATCCTTCTCTTTCAGCTCTGATATATAAGGTGAGAAAGATCGGATGTCTAAACAATGCTCCGTGTAACAAATCTACTCGCTTCCTTCCGCAGCCTGATGGGAATAAATGCAAAAGTCTTCAAGGTAATAAATGGGGGAGGCTGCTAGCTTTTTCAGCAGCCCTGCTGGCAGATGACTGAGCTGCTTGCAGCTCTGCCTTGCTTAAGTATCACCTGTTTATTAAGAAACTTCTTATCAAAGGTGTGCAGCAAATGACTGGCTAGCCCAGTTCCCAGAGCCTGTTTCAGCTGCTGCCTGCAGAGCTGGCGTTATCAGCATGTGAAGCAACTTCTTACATGTTGTGCAAAAAGAGGAAATGGGAAGCAGAAAGGTGAAATGCTGGGAGAGAAGGGTCGATAAGCTCCTTCCCGTGCCCTGGTCCGGAAGGTAACGCTGCCTGAACCTCACAAAAGCAGGAGGCTCACAAACGGGAACGTTTCTGGAATGCACACAGAGGGTGAGGCAAGATTGTGGGGTGTTCGTGGCTGCAAACTGGCCTAGGAGTACGTGGGTCTGTGTTGCTTTTGTTCCATGGCCACCCTCATTCTAAAGGATCTATCCTTTTGGCCTTCCGATGAATTGGCTCTTTCTGTGGAATAATCAGCACTTGTGCAGCTTCTCTGCGTTACGTTACAGTGCTGCACATCTGTCTCCCTTCTGGGACAGGCACTGTTTTTCCCCAAGCCAGGGTGTAAAGTGCTATCAGATGAGGCTGCCTGAATTTATGCTAAGCTTGCAGATCTGGCTGCTCAGACAGAGAATTGCTGTCATAGGTGTTAGACTTGATTTTAATTACCCCGTGGGAGGCAAGCAGCCTTCGTATGATGAAAGGATGCAGGCCCTTTCAGGTTGCAGCTACCAAAGTCTCCTGTGGAAACTCATGAGAAACAAGAGACCTCGGGGCTGCTTTCAGAGGAGTTTGCTTTAATGCAGAGCTGGTGAATTTGTAGCGTGTGCCTTGCCTGCTTGCCTTGTGAATAAATGTCAAGCTCTAGCCTCTTCATAACAATGTGACATCAGATTAACGCTGTTGAATTGTCACAGATGTTAGAGGGATGTGGAGTCCAGACAGGCAGCAAGCAGCTTGGCTGGCTTCATTTCACACAAGGAGACACGGGCAGCTTCAGGAGGGCTCAGGACATGAGCTGCATTCTGTCAGGGTCTGATGGGTGACAACTGGGTGACCCTGCAACTTCAGCTCCTGCAGGCCAAGTTTGCCAAGCCTTGTGTATGCACCAAGCAGGACCAGAAGTGGAAAATGGTCTAGACGTAGAGGAGATGCTGCTGGAAAGAGTCACAGTTTGAAGGCTTTGAAGTATTTGATTTCAGTACAGCCTTGAATCAGCACAGAAGCCTTTGGTGGTGGTGTGTAGGCAGGGCTTGCTGCCTGAGATCTCCTCCAGATAGCTGCTTCTCAGAAGTCAGAATACAACTTCCTCCAGGGCTTTGCTGACAAAACCCACCTTGCCATCAGAGCCTGGCAGAGGATTGGCCCCTTCCTTCATGTAGCTCATCCCAGGGTGGAACAGGTTGTGTTTGTAAACCACCTCCAGCAGTTTAAAGTCCCACTTCAGATGTGGTGATGGGAGAGGGCCTCAAGTTGTGCTGCTGTGGCAGGGAGTTGGTTGGATGTTCAGAGAAATGTCCTTTACTGAGAGGGCTGTGTGGCGTTGGAAGTGGCTGCGTCACCATCCCTGGAGGTCTCAAGAAACATCTACCTGTAGGGTTTTGTAACGTGGCTTCATGGTGGACTTTCCACTGTGAGGTTTGGGGTTGGACTAGGTGATTTTGGAGGCCTTTTCCAACCTGAACAGTTCTGTGACTCTCTGCCCCTCTCCACAGCTCGCTGAAGGTACGGCAGGAATGGCAGGCTGGGCTTTCCAGCCAGCATGACCTGGAAAGGCATCTGGGCCCAAAAGCTTAAGTACTTTTTCCAGCTGTGTCAGCTGTTCCAGTTCAAGGGCTGACCTTTCTGAACGAGCCTGCCTCCTCCTGAGCGTGCAGCACAGCGCTCGTGTACAGCAGGGCTATGAATCGGGCAGCTGGGGCTCCTGGTAGCTGTTGGTATTTTCATTTTAAGGGATTTGATGCTCCACCTTTTATCGAGGGAGCTCTGTAGAGCTGGGAAAGCAATGGTGATGGGAGTCAGTGCTGGGCAGCCAGGAGGGGCTTTGTGCAACGTCCGTGCTCTGGCCAGCAAAGTTGGCAGGAGGCTGCAGGTGTAGTGCATGCAGACAGCAGGCTGCCTGCGGGGGCTTCTGGAGCTGCCTGGCCATGGCAGAGCTCAGTGTGCATCCCTCCATCCCTGCCAGCACGGAGGGGCCTCCCTCCGTCCTGATCGGGGTGCTCGAGGAGCATAACTGGGTTTTGCTTGATGCAAAAACCGGGTTGTGCTTTGAGCAGGTTCCAGCGAACTCTGGGCTGCTGCTTCCCAGGAACAGCTCCTCTCCTGGGGATCTCGCTAGCTCTATTTTGATACACAGGAATAAAACGCCGGCTGCCCGAGCCAGGCTGCGTAAGCGTAATTCTCACAGAACCAGGGGCGCAGCTTCTGTTCATCCCTGCAGTTTCGCTGCCTCTGCAATAGCGGGATGTGTACCAGGGGGCTTGGAAAAATCTCCTGAGGTTGGGAGCCTGGGGAAGGCTTCGAAAGCGCCTGACTTCTGGTTGCAGCAGGGCTACGTGACGGCAGAAAAGCTCTTCCCCTGCTCTCGCAGGCTTCTGCCAGCCTTCCCACACAAACGCACGCATGTGCCTCCCCTTGCAGCGTGTCAATCCCAGCCTGCTTTACTCAGCTTCCTCGTCCTGTTCTTGTTTTGGTGAAGTATGAGAAAAGCATCTGTGAGCCTGTCTCTTCCTTGAGAGAGATCTCTTCTGGAATGGAGATGTTCTCTGCACAGGAAAACAACTGGAAAAGGCTCCCATGAAGTCACCGGTGAAAGATGTGCATAATCCCCTTGTTTTGCTCTGTTTTTAAATAGGCCTCTGTGGTGCAGAGCTCTCTCTGGGCTCAAACCTGACTCTTCCTGCAGCTCTGCTGTGTCTCGCTCAGCAGCTGTCTGGTTTAACCTCTCCTGGAGCAGCTGCTGGTGGGCTTCTTGCTGCACTGGGCTAAAAACCGTGGTGAAACCTGACGGCAGGCACAACCACGCAGGCTCCTTTCAACCTGAATGAATAAACTATTTCCTACAGGATATTTACTCCGATGAAGTGTAAATTGTTTTGCAGTGGGCCCGCACTCAGCTTTGTGCGCCTCAAACAAACGGCAGCTTCCTCTGCTCCCCTTACCAGAGCCAGGCAGTTCCTGATTTACATGCAGAGCTCCCTCGCCGCCAGCATTAACATGCCCACTGCCTTCTCCCTTGTCACAGCAGACAAACCAAGGGGCTGGACTGTTTCAGTGTATGTGGTAATAGGGGTTAAACCACTGGGAAACGGGGTGGAGGAGCCCAGCAACGTTCTCAGAGGGTTTTGATGAGCATTGCCCTTTCTGCTTACACCTTAGTAGGATAAAACACCTGCAGGGCAATATCCCCTGCCCACCCTGTGGCTGCAAGGAGGAATTCTGCAGCCCCAAGCTGCACTAAATGCCCCCAGGTGTGGATGTTACCGTCGGAGATGTATAGATGTGCCTATAAGGGATTTATCGAGGGCAGTCCGGTGATGTGCTGCCGTTCTGCACCCAAAGCACTTGTTCTGTTGTCAGCCCAGCTGCTGGTCAGCAGAGCAGAGCTCATACTGAGCTGCTCAGTCACTCACCCTGATAAAATACAATGCCCAGAGGCTGGACAGACCCCTGCCCAGTGACCCTGTGGGGTAAAGCACCTCCCACCCAGGTGTTCCTGAAGCTCGGGAGCAGCACAGGCTTGGCTTCTCCTCCCTGGTTTGTTCCTGCCCGTCAGAGGTGCCCAAGTTGTACAAGCTGCACGTGGGACAGCGTGCACCAGGCTGCAGCCCAGCACATGGGAACGATTCAGCTTGTGCTGGAGTTGACAGCGTTAACTCTGGACCCTAATGAATTTCTGGAGTTGTGACACTGGGGCTTTTCGAAGTTAAATGTGGAAGATATTATTGGGCAAGCCAACTGCCTACGGAGACTGCCAGGAGCAGGAATGGCATTTAACCACGGAATTGTTTTCTAGGAACTGCTAAGCTGAATTTGAGGCTGGCTGCACGCTTGTTAGAGAAGTGTTAGAGGGGGACATGTATGTTTGTGGTCTCTGGAAAAAGACTTTGTCACAATTTTCACATCGGCGTAGCTTCTGTCTATTTTGGGGGTCTCTGTGCTATGCATTCTCCTCCCTTGTACCGGGAGGCGAGCCATTTGCCATACCAGTTGGCTGTAAAATCTGGGAAAGCAATTTGTGGTCATCCCTTAAACAAAAAGACTGTGCTGGGGACTGGGGAGACAAAAGTGGTCAGGCTGCCACAGCAGATGCTATTGCAGCTCGTCGGATGTGTTCTTTGAAGGGTAGTTCATGAACCGCCCTCCAAAGATGTGGCTGGGAGCTGCGGTGAATGAATGGACTCTTGCTGCCCAGAAATTGAATAAAATGGGAATATGCAAAGCTGTGTTCTCTTGAACAGAAAAGCATGCCTAGAAAATCACTCCAAGGCTGGAATACTCGTTTTGGTGTGTCCCCGAGCCAATGAAAGGGGAAGGGAAAAGTATAATGTTCTCAGTAAAATTATTATAGCATTTATTTTGCATTTGCATCCCCCCTGCCTGTTAGGGTGTAGGGTTTTACTTTTCACTCCTATTTCTTTGTTAGGCCAGAACAAAAGCGAGGTGTTCTGGGAAATGCAGGCAGCTTAAAACAATAGCTCTTAACCCCTTGTGGGTGTGAGGGGCGCTGAGACTCGGGCATGAGTTTGTGCCTCGTGGTGCATACCTTTGTGAGCTGTGCTGGGTCTCACGGGGCTGAATTTTAGGGGCTGGCAGGACTTCAGGCACACACCGGTGTGCAAGGGCTGATCCCAGTTTTTTGGGAGGGGGCTCCCGTTGAAAGCACAGCCCCTTTGCGTGTTCACTGAAGCAAGGTCTCTTACACTTTTGGTCTGTAGTTTCACGCTTAGTTTTCTTTAACCTTAAAGCCTATTTCACGAGCTCTCCTCCCTCCCCTGTCCAGGACGAGAAGATCACTGTTAACCAAGATGTCCCAGTGCACGAAGGGAAGCCTCATATTGTCCACTTCCAGTACAAGGTCACAGAGGTGAAGACCTCCTCCTGGGATGCAGTGCTCTCGAATCAGAGCCTCTTTGTGGAAATCCCTGACGGATTATTAGCTGATGGAAGCAAAGAAGGGTGAGTTTGGTATCCTGGAGCTGTGCCCACAGGGAGCAGCATTTCTCTGGTGATGTTCCATGTGTGGGGAGAACGAGCTGTACATACATACAGTGCCTCTCTTCCTGATCTGTACAGCTAAAGCACGTCTTCGCTGCCTTGTCTTCACAGAAGAGTCCTGTTAGTCCTCCATATGTATTTTTTCCCCCCTTTGGAGACCGTTTGAGACAAGTTACTGTTTTTGAGGTCCTGTGCTAATGAAAAATAAGCAAGAAATGAGTGGAGTGATTCTTTGCATACTTTGTGGAAAATTCTGTTCCGCTGGCCAATTGGCAAGTATTTATTTTGGCAAGTGTCTTCCTCTCTTTCAGGGAAAAACTCCATTATATTGATGTGCTCCTTCTCATCAGTAGGTGGTTCTGCTCTTGGGCTGCTGCCATGCAGGCTTCTGGCTCTGCCAGAATCTGATTTTTCTCTGCTGGCAGAATACGGGAGTGTTTTGTCCAGACAGCTCTGCTCTGGGAAGTTTGTGTAAACGCAGCTTCCAGAGCAGCTACTTCCTGCCAACTGCTTCGCCAGAGATCTCTGCTGGCAGGGAGCGCTGTAGCGTAGATGTGGTTTCACCAGATTCCTGTGCAGAGCTCGCTGAAGCCCTCCCAAATTTCCAAATAGGGTTTACCAGCAAATGGCACAAGCTAATTGCAAAAACCATCATTGGGCACCTTCAGTAAGCGCCAGTATCCCTGCTGCCTCATGCTCGTCTCCTTGGAATCTGAGTCCAGATAAATGTTTCTGCATAATTTCCGCAGTCAGCCCATAAATCCTTTGGCTGTCCATGTGCCTGCTCTCCTGGGAGCAGGTTCTTCCGTGGGGGTATTTACCCGCCCAGCTCATCATGACTTAAAGCACGATTTTGCAAGATTATTTTTAGCTAGGTAAAACAGCCTAGTAGAGGCTATAATTAAAGTAGTTCATTACCATATTAACAAAATCCTTGCAAATTTAATCTCCCTCGGTGCGCTCCAGTCTCACTGACTGCTGTTTAATTAGATCTCGATTCGAGCCCTGTTTGTCACTGCTCTAGCAGCCTGCATCGTAAATGGTTACAAGGCCGGCAGCACCGCGCGGCTCCCCGGGGCTCGGATGGGGTCAGTGCCGCTCTGCTCCCGTCAAGAGAGGGGCAGAAATAATTTAGCTGGAAGGAAGCTGGGTTTCATGATGCAGCTTCTCAGCTGTGCCATCCAGATAATATGTTCAGGAAACAGCTTTGTCTGTGCACATGCTCCTGCAGCGATGGTTTTCTTTTCTGCCTGGCGTGAGCTCTTTTATTTTATTCTGTTTTTTTTAAATCTTTACATAACATGCAAAACTTAGAGATCCCGTGTGGTGCCAGGGGAAGGAATGTAAACAGCTGCGATATTCAGCTTCCCACCTCTGAAGGCTTGTATGCAAAACTCCTGGCTGGTGGGGCTGTGCGTGCTGGCAGGCGAGTGCCAAGGACACGGAGCTGTGGGGTGACTTGGTGGAGGACAGCTCCCGGTTTTGCAGGGCTGGACATGAAGGCAGGAAGTCCATTGTTTCAGCACCCATTGTTCGCTGGAAGGTGTCTGTAAACAAGTCATCTTTCTGCCTGACAACATCCAAACAGTTGATAGTGCTCAGTGGCTTCCTCAGGACAGGACTTCCTATAGCTGATGTTCTTTTGTCTTCTTCCTCCTTGGCAGGTTATCAGCTCTGTTGGAATTTGCTGAAGAAAAAATGAAAGTAAACTACGTCTTTATTTGCTTCAGAAAAAGCAGAGAAGATAGAGGTGAGAACTCAGCCCTGCTGGGAGGTTTGCTCCTTAGATCTAAAATGGTGCTGCTGGATCTGTACAAAAATCCGGTCATCCCAGGGCTTCGGGGGACACGTGCTACTGCAGGAATTGTTACATGCAGAATTTCTGTGGTGTTCTCACAAATCAGAAATGGTTTCTCATGCAGGAAATAAGCCCTGTCTTGAGACTGAGGGAGAGAGAACATCTTGATTTCTCCAGCTGGATATGCTGTACTGTCCTGCAGTTAAATTATTGCTGGTATTCTCAAGGAGAAAGCTGCTCCTGAGTAACTTGGAGTACTTTCCTGTCCAGAAGTGGTTAATAATCCTTCTTGGGTAAGGAGGGAAGGCATTTGGCACCAGGATTCTGTGATTTGCAAGGGGAAATCAAGGAGAGGTTAATAACATGGTAAATGAATACTGGTAGCTTGTTGCCCTTGTGCTCATCTGCTTTTTAAAGATCTCCTGGCACTTTTGCCCTTCCTAGACCTACAGGTAATCCTGACCCTGGCTATAGATGCTTAGGGCTTAAGGGGACTGCATTAGGATCTAAAGATAGATGTGTCGGATGAGTGATTAGAGCACGGAAGTTTGAGATTTGTGATGAGGTACCAAGCTACGTACGTGTCACTTCAAATCCTACTAGACGCAGGCTAGTAACCAAGCAATTACCATGGCAGGAATAATTCAAATCTTAATTCTAATTTTACTCCGCTGCTTCGCAAGCTGCACTGCCTTCTCTGAAGTGAAGCACGTTGTTACAGCTAAGCTGTGCTGACCCCAGGAAGTTGTGGCTCCACGTTATGATACCAAGATTAATTTCCAAACGGAGTTCTTGCTCTAGTGTGTCACCAGCAGTAGCTGCATAGGTGACCTCCATGGTGGCTGTTTACAGGGGACATCCGATGCTGGGTTTTGCTCGTTTTTAAAAAGCACAGGAGTGTTGCTATTGAACCTGACTTATTCATACGAGCTCTAGACTCTCAGTCTTTGTACAGCTGAAATTCAGCATCGCCTTGAGGACACATAGGAGCTGCTCTGCGTGACTGTGCAGAGCTCTGAGGCCAATCATCAGGAGGTGTCGCAGAGATGAGGTGCTGTGGCAGGGTGGCTCTCAGGTCACAGGGGAGCGGCTGCTGTAGTAACAAGGGGACACACACCCTGCTAGTGCCACGTAACCTCACCTCACCCAGGTGAGCACACGTGGGGCTCCGGGGCTGCAGCTCTCCAGGGGCAACGTGCGCAGCTGAGCTGAGGCTGCAGCGAGCTCCAGGTCCTCCTCATGGAGCCAGCAGATCTCTGACTGCTCCCTGAGCAAGTAGGTTCCCATCTGCTGCTGCACGACCTGCTTTCAGGGCTCAGCGGGTGCTGGGAGCAGCCCCCCAGTTCAGCACGGAACAGACATCGGCGTGCAGCTGGTGGGTAACCGGGCGGCTGCCGCAGTGGAGTGCACAGCTCGAGTCTCCCTCTCAGCCAGGAGTGATGGTCGTGGCTTCTAGGGCAGCACAGGTACAGAGGAGTATTCCTGATGGTAACAGGATTTCCTTCTCTTTGGTAGCTCCACTCCTGAAGACGTTCAGCTTCTTGGGCTTTGAAATCGTGAGGCCTGGTCACCCCTCTGTCCCGTCGCGGCCAGATGTGATGTTCATGGTGTACCCCCTGGATCAGAACTCTTCCTCTGACGAAGAATAGTTGCAGCGGGGGACGCGAGTGTGACCTGAAAATGCTTTTGAGGGGAGAGAGGGTTACATCTCCTTTCTTGAGGAAAGGGAAAACAAGCTTCTGTTGGACTGAAACTGCATTTCTCATTGTTAGATTGGCCTGTGTATCCTCAGAGTTGACTATCTCATTGAAACGTGTTGCCTAGAGAACTATATATACACATGTAATCACCAAATAGTAAATGGAAGATGTTTATGAACTGGCATAGGAGCTCTTTACATGCAGCTGTGTGGTGTGTTAGCCTAGAGGCGCCTCATGCCCCGGCCACGTGGGGGCCTGGCAGCGTAGGGGAGCACAGCGGTAGATGCAGCATCATCAACTCCTTGACTTCTCCACATCAGTGTTGGTTCTTTCCCCATCACCTGATGTGTGGTGTGCGCTCATCTGACCGGCTACCTTTTAATTTTCACTCAGACTCTTAAGTGTAAGGCATGTTTGGGGTGTTACACACACGGAGGAGACGTGAGTTAACCTTTAACACTACATTAAAACCCCTGTGCATCTCTGCTTTGGGGCAACCAATGCTGTTTTAACTCATCTAACTTTTTTTTTTTTTTTTTTTTTTTAAAGAAAAAACACAAAACCTTCTTGCTCTTCCAGCTTTTGTTTAAACAGTCTTACTCTGTTCAATGTTACCACTGCACTATCACAGCATTTAATAAAAGGGGCATTCAGATTAACTTCACCCAGCTGGGGCTGCTTATTTAAAAAAGGAACGGAGCCTTTTTCGTGCTGCAATGGTACTCTGCTCTGCTAGGGTCAAGCGAGCGTTTGGAGCGATGCCTCGGGTCTGGGGGAGCGCTCCCTTCCCCTGCTGGAGTCACGCTTTCCGTGGTTCAAAGAGCACTTGAGCCTTGGGGCTCCTTCCCAGGGCGAGGCGAGGGGCTGCCCTCACACCTCTGTCCGGGCCCTTCCAAAGAGAGACGCTCGAGCCCCGAGAGGAGAGATCGGCTGTACCCAAAGCCAAGGGAGTCGTGCAGGGGGCAGCTCGCGTTTCACTCGTAGCGCTGGGGAGCGAGGTTGTGCTCTTGTCTTCGTGCCATGTGGACGTAACCTGGCTGGCTTCCTTCGAGCGCCACATGAGAAGGGTGTATTTATAAACCGGGCCCTGGAGCCGTGTCGCGAGCTCTCTTCCTGGCCTGGCTGCTTGCGTGTGGAATTGTCCGTGTGTGCTTTGTTCTGCTCTCACTCTTCTGTGGAGGATTTTGTTAAAAGCTGAAGCCAAGCCATTCCATAAACATCATGGTCAGTGTTTTCTGTCTGGGGGAGAGAGGTGGGGCCGGGCTACGAGTTTGTGTGAATAAATCATCTTAAAGTTTGCGTCTCGTTGCCCTCCTTCCCCTCCAACACAGTGAAACAGGACAGACGTGGGCTCGAGGGGCGAGGAGCTGGGGGCTCTAATCCCTTTTAGAAGGGGACTTTGGGGGGATTTTGGTTTAAAATCAGGTGGTTGCTGTTTGTCCACCTGTCTCCCTGTCCCTAACCTGCTGGGGTGGGAACGGCTGTGCTCCTTCCATGCTGGTGAGGCGTGAGCTCCCAAGTGTGGCTGTTATCCCAAGCTCGTTAAGAACCCGCAGTTATTGGTGCCTCTCCAGCAGGCACCCCACACTCACAGCTGCTGGCGCTGTCCCTGGCCGCCTGGACCTGCAGTGGGGCAGCCTTGGTGAAGGGCTGAGGCTGCAGGGGCTGGTGCCAGGGGAGGACAGGACCCCGCTGCGTGTGCCTGGTCAGGGCTCTCACTGCCCTGCTTCCAGCACACCCGCCCCATTAAATAGCTGTTGCTTGTTAAAGCCTCAGTTCCTCCTGTTACCTCTCAGCAGCAGACCTTCCCGACAAGTCCCTCATCAGTCATCCCTTCAGCTGCATTCCTAGGGCTTTGAATGGCACTGGGATGCTGTGCTGGCAGGTCCCCGCAGGCTGGGCACCGTGATGGTAGTGAAGGCCCCCATGTCCCCTCCACCCCAAAGCCCAGCGTCCGTGTTGGCTGGGGATGGAGGAGTCGGGGGGAGCAGGGACAGGAAGAAAAAGCCACCCTCACAGGTTTGTGATTGTCTCTTAAAAAGATTTATTCTCTCTCCTTGCCCAAATGTACAAAGGCAAGAAGAGTACAGTTTGTATATATATATATTTATATATATATATATAAAAAACAAGGAACTTGGTAATAATGTACACTTTACAGAAGGGCAGAATCAGGAAGACTGAAATGAAACCCAACACAGCAACTCCAATGGAAACGAGCGCTATAAACATCAACGGTGCAACACCCGGGCAGGGGCTGGGGACAGGGCCCCGGGGGGCTGCTGGGGGCCCCGCGGGCAGGGGCTGGCCCTGGGAACGTCCAAGGGCCCTGTGCTGCTTCAGCTGCTGGCTCACTTGACACCTAAAGGGAGAGGCAAGCGGGTCCCAAGGAGGTGGGAGCAGCCCCCCACCCACCCAGGCACCCTCCTCAGCGTGCTGGAGCAGCCTCGGCGGGGTGCACCAAGGGGCTCCCCGCATCGCCCCGACCCCACCACCTCGCAAAGTCAACGAAGAGAGGAAAGAAAAAAAAAAATGAGTCGAACTAAGAGGCGTCGAAGAGAGCAGGCTGGGATCGCCACGCTGCCGGGGTCAGAACCGGGGCCAGCAAGCATCTCTCCAACCAGGTAAAGTGGGTGAAGGGAACAGGGCAGGGAGGATGGGACGGGACAGGGGGAAGAAAACAAAACCCAAAAACAACAGCTTTCAAACAATTGCTTTTTACAGTATGTACAGAGCCCGGCGGGCAGAGCATCCCGGTACAGCGACCCAGGCCGGGTGTGACGCGCGCGCACGCACACGACGGAGACTGCCGCAGACCGAGGGGACCCCCCCGGCACTTCCCTGGCCTGGGAGGGACGGCGGCGGGCAGGGATGGGGGGGGACAGCCGGGGCGGCCGCGGGCCGAGGTAGCGAGGTGGCCCGGGGGGAGCCACACCGCAGCTGGGGCGGGCAGAGGACCAGAAAGCCCCTGTCCTGGGGCGCCGGGAAGCGGCTTCGGGGGGCTGGTGCCCTGCACCCCGGGTGCCTCCGGCAGAGCCTAAGTGTGCTTGTTCCTCGCTGAGCTCTGCTCGCAGCCTGGGGAAGCCGACGGAGACAGGGAAGAGAGGACGCAAAGCGTGGCCGCTTTCCCTGGGGCGCAGGGCAGAGGAAAGGCCCCTGGGGCAGGGTGGGTGGGTTGCAGAGTCACAGCTCAGAAACCAACTCGGAAGCCTCGGAAATGAGCTTCAGTCAGGGCTGGACCAGTAACAAGGCACTGGGGGAGAAACCCTGGCAGCAGGGCCGGGTGGTGGGTGCTGCTCACGGCAGCCCCCAGCGCCCCAGCCCGGAGCCATGGGGCTGGGAGAGGGGCTGAGGCCGATGGAGGCAGGGAGGCCGCCTGACCTGCTGATGTGCACACCCCCATGGCTGTGTCCCACGAAGCTGCCGTCCCCCCCCCCGTGTCCCTGTCCCCTGCCTTGGCCCTGTGTCACCCACACGGAGCTGCTGGAACTTCCTTTCCTGAGACCGTGCCTCCCCTCGGGGATCGGCCCCACGGGTCGAGCCTCACGGGGGGGGGACGCAGGGAGGGGGGCCCCATCCTGCACCGCCCGCCCCAAGTCCTGTGATGCTCAGCCCCAACGGAGACGCGGCAACTCGCAGGGGCACAGCAGGGCCACAAATCCATCGAGAAACCTCAGTGCTTCCGTTTCCTCTTCATATGCACCAGGCAGGCGATTCACTTCCATCCCAAGTGCCGGTGCCCAGTAGAATAAATATTTCCGTAGGTACCAGCTCGCCCGCTCGCCAAAGGGGAGGGTGTGGGGGGGATTCAGTGTGTGTCCGACGGGGGGAGAAGACAGAGTCTGCCTCAGATCGCGGCAGGAACGTCAAGCAGAACAATTAACACCATTCAACTGATGTCTAAAGGAGTCTCCAGCGTGTCCCCATGTGAGCCAGTCACATGTCTCGTACAGCCCAGGCGTCCCGGCCTCACGTCCTGCCGAACCCAAGGCCCTGTCAGCCCCTGCCTCCGCCAGCCCCCGCCGAGGGGCGAACCCCAAACCTGCGGCTCGAGGCGGCCCCGTGTCCCCCCCTCGCAGGCAGCCTTACCATTCTCACCTCCGGGGCGGTGGGTATAGGGAGGGAGCGGAGCCCTGCTGGCTGGCCACGATGGCTGTGGAGGACAGACCTGCAGGGAGAGGTCTCGTCAGGAGGCTGGGGAGCGCTGGAGGCGGCCAAAGCAGAGCTTGCCGCGGGGGCTCTGGCTCCCCAAACCCCGCCAGGGGTGAGGTGGGGCTCTCACCTGTTGCATAGGGCAGGTTGTACTGCGCCGGCAGCAGCGAGTACCCGAGGTGGTGGTGGTGGTGATGTGTCGAGAGCAGGCGCTGAGATGGTGAGGTCCGGGGACGGTCCGTGCTCCTCTCCCCGCTGCCAGCTCCCCCGACGCTGCTGCAGCTCCCGCCGCCCCCCACCACTCCGCAGCCGCCGCGGTCCCTCTCCTGAGATGTCTTCTCACTTATCTGCAGAGGAAAAAGCAAGTGGGCGCTGAGGGATGCGGGCGGGCAGCTTGCAGTGATGGGGCTCCATCCCCACCACCTAGGCTTGGCATGGGCACCCCGGACTGCACAGCTGTCCCAAGCGGCTGCTCCACCATGCCCCGCTGGGACAACATCGCCCCTGCCTTGTCTAAAGGCTCCCCACGGCGCTGCTGGCACAGAGTGGAGGTGATGGGATAGGTGGCAACCAGCCCAAAAGCTACGGGGAGGTTGCAGAGCTGGTCAGCAGATCCCAGCCAAGCAGCTGGGACCCAAGCCAGAGGTCGCTCCAGGCCTGAGGACACGTGGAGTTGTCCCCGTGCCTCCAGACCAGCACATTTGGCTCATCCATCCCAAAAAGGGCTGCATCGTGGGACTACTCTACAGCCCCACGTCTCCTGAAGGAGTTGCTCCAGGCACCTTCCTGAAGCTGCTGCACAGAGCTAGGCCAAGCCAGCGTGCTCCTGAGCCTCACCGTGGGCGATTTGCTCTTGTAGTGGCTGGCGTGCTGCTGCAGGATGTCCAGGGCCTTGGACTCGGAGCTGGATTTACAGCTGACGCTGGGGCTGGCTCGGGACTTGTCGCTGTCATCACTCCCGGATGCCTTGCTCCCATACGGGGAGAAGGAATAGCTGGAGGGAAGGTACGATCCTGGGGGGAAAGAAGGCAGTCAGGGCATGGGGACACAGTGGGTTTACTGCACAGGAGCCAGTAAGTTGTGGCTGCAACCCGGTGAACATCCCAGCAGCGGCACGAAGACCACAGCAGATGCTCCCCTGCCCACCCCCTGGTCGCTCCCAGAGCCTGACCCACAAAGACTACCAGGACACAGGCACAGCCCGGGGAGGGACGTCCCCCCAGGGTGAGATGTCCCCGAGATGGCCGTGGCTCCCTACCTGGGTAATTCTGCATCATGACCGTGGGCATGGCCCGGTAGCTGGGGTGGTTGGGGTCGTACGACTGGCTGTAGGAGTAGCCGTGCATGTAGGGGATGTAGGACTGATGCTGTGTGAGGGGTGAGGACACGGGGACGTGGACACTGGGTCTGGGGTCCTTTCCCACCATGCGAGCCTCCTCGGTGGGGGTCAGTTTGCACTCGGAGCTGGTGCTCTCCTTCCCGTCCTCCTTGGACACGTCTTTGCTGCGATTTCTTTCTTCCTTCAATTTTCTGTCCCGCTCCTCTTTCCACCGCTCATCCTCCGTCTTGATGTCCGAGTACTTTGCAGGGTAAACGTAGGTCCACATACGGGGCTCTGCTTCCTGCAAGAACCAGATCAATGTCAGAGAAGCTGCCTCCCCCTGGCCCTACATGCCCCAAAACTGGGCTGGACTGGGAAGAGACCAGAGCAGCCCCCTCCCTCCCCCAGCCTCATCCTTGCCAGCCCCAAAAGAACCTCGTGGAGTCCCATCACGGCAGGAACAAGTCCTGGAGCAGAGGACAACACACGTTCTCCACACTGATGGCCCCAGCCAACCTATGGGAGAAACTCCACCGAGGGGGCAGTGAACGAGCACTGCATTACCTGTCTGTACCAGAGCACGGGGTCCACCTCCGCTTGCCGGCCGCACTCGGAGCCAGCCTTCGTCTCAGCAGTCTCCTTCCCGAGGTGGCCAGCCTCGCTCAGCTTCACCTTCAGTCCCTCAGGCCACCTGGCTGCCAGACAGCTTGGACGAGTCCTCCAGCTTGGGGATGATGACGGATTTGGCCATGTCGGCACCTCCCTGCTCCTTGGCCTTGCTCAGCCCCGACTTGACGAGGTCCGTGAGGCTCGGGGCCTTGGTGAG